AAAAAGAAAACGATTAATCGATTATTAAATTAGTCATCGATTATTTTAATAATCGATTAGTCGTCGATTAATCGATTAATCGTGGCAGCCCTACTTTTAAATTTCAGGGAGATGCTCCATTTATTCATTGCCTTCAGCTTAATAACACAAGTCCAGCTGCTTTTGTTTTACTTTTCAGATTTGCCATGTCCTTGATGTCTGAGAATCTGCACAGCAAACAGAGTGAACCTAAGCAAAAGAGTGATAGTAGTCACTTCTCTAAGTTATGCCCATCTGCGTTTTTGCTGATGGCAACAACTGACCTTCTTCATTTTTTATAATGAGGAGAAATGTTTGGAGGATGACAACAAGTGATTGTCAGTTTGCAGCAACAGTTGAGGGAAGATGGGAGTGTCGCTTTGCACTTACAACAAAAATCTCTGCAATCTCTGGCATCTCCTTTAGGCCCTGTCCACACAGGAATGCAGTCTTTCCGAAACAATGTTTTTCCTTGTAGAAATAGCATTTATTTTTCTAGAAATGATTTCATTCACTGAGAAACAGAAAACGACGTAAATGTTGAGAGAAGTAGCGTGTGGATGGTGCTGTAGTGCTGCTACCTTTTTAAAAATACTTCTAAACAAGGAAAGATAAGGAGCAGAAGCTCTAAACTGAAAGAACAAAAGAAGATAAAAGACAGAGATAGTAAATGCAAAAGGCAAAATTGGAATCTTGTTTTGTGGAACTTAGACTTTGTGTCATATAAAATTATTGCTGGTAGTTAAGAGTTGAAGTAGTTTAGCTTTCTGTCCAAACACAAGAACATGATGTTATTCGGACTTTCCTCATGATATGAAAAGAGTTCAGGGTAATTTTTTTTGTACACCTCAATCCTAAAACTACTTTTGTTTCTGTTTATACAGTGAAATGATAAACTTTTTTTAGCATTTGATGATGGGTTTTTGCTTTGCTCCATTTAAGGCTATTTTATTCTTCAACAGTTTTGTTTGCTCGTACACTGTCAGACTGTTCGATTGTAGTTGAGCAACTAGTGTGTGCAAAACAAACATACAGTCATTGTTGGGGTTAGAGGTTAAGCAGGAGGTGACAATACTACATTATGGCTTTCAAAAGGTTGTTTTTAAGCTGTCCACGTTAAAATGCAACAGTTGAGTTTTATGGTTTTGTCACCCTAAAACCCTGTTTTGAAAATTACTTTTGTGAGATTCCTAAAATGTTTGTGTTTAGACATAAGGCTTAATTAAATAATTACAAACTTTGCATGTTATCAAAGTAACATTTCTGTGTGGATGGGGCCTTAAGGGTGTTTAAATGGCAGGGAATATATGGTGAAAACATTTAAAGGATTAGATATAATTTTGTAACTATGTGGTCTAGTTTAAAACCACAAACCTGCCCTTGCAGACACCCATTGATAAAGAAGGGCACAGTTTAGTTGAGTGGCTCTCTGTGCCGCCTAAAATAAGCTGAAATGAAAAATGAGTCATGCTGTGTAAGAGTGCTTTGACATTGTTAATGTCTTATATTTTGATACTGTATCAAAGTATTTAAAAAAAAGTTTCAGCCAGTTTAATTTTTAACTGCTTTTGCAATCATTCAAACTCAAAAGTCGTGTATCTATCCGTTATGTATCTTTGGTGAAAAAAGGCTCAGCTTGTTTGTCTTTGAAAGAGTGACACTGGTAGACCTCTGCTTCTGGTTTGCCTCTGTTTATTCACCAAATTATTTATTAGCATTGATGTTATCCTTCTTCAGTATGAAAGCTATTAAATGTTTTCAATGGAGAGATGGAGAGATAGTGGTAGTATTTGGACTGTGCCCTCATTCCTCAAAGTTTCCTATTTTTTTTAAATTGTAAAACATTGTTTTACAGTCTTTTTGTTTGAAATATTAAAATGAGGGGGAAAAACAACCTGGAGTTAAAACTAATTTCAGCCTGTTCTCTGACAACGTTTTGCAGTTTGAGCACCGCAATCTTATACAGTGTATATAATCT